TCTTTTTCAAACAAAGACAATAATTAAATAAAATTAAATGAAACTATATAAAACAGCAAAACTTTGTTTTTTTTTATTAATAAACAAGTGTAAATAAGTTCCACAAGATACCTGAGATAAGGTGGTGGCTTCTCTATGAATGTCTGAAATCTCAGACCATCAGCCACGAAAAGCAGCAGCCTTTTAGCCGGTGCTCCATTAGGCGCCGGTACAATTGGCATTCCTCTAATAATAGGTGAATGAAAGTTAACATCTAATACACCCCATAATAGAATTAAATGCATTGTTAACCCCCACAGAGCAAACAGATAATTGTTGCCCATATCGAGCCATTGTTTCTTGTGAAACTTTCCTGTTCTTTCAGACAATTCACTTTCTGCGATATCTAACTTTTTCCTTTTTATAAACATCTTTAACAATTTTAAGATTTGTAAGATTGAGATATACTTGAGATATACAATTGTAAGATTGAGCTATACTCGAGATTTGATACAACACAGTGTATGTCATACTACGTTAGCAGAAATATACTGACAAATCGATTTGAAATATCGAACGAAAGCATTAAATTTGTATTAGTCGCGCTTCGTACTCCATACATCTTACGTGGCTCTCTTTAGCTTTCTTTTTCTTTTTTGTATACATATGCACACATATATATATCTATATATATGCATATATATATATATAATGCAATTCATACGATAGCAATACAAATCCATAACTTACTGTCAATAACTTGCCGACTGTTAAAATTTAGCATTATATAAAATGTAAACAAATATATAGTATTGGAAAAAGAATATGTGATTTTTTGAATAAAAAATAATTCTTATCTTTTGATTATATTTTTATTTTTTATATAAAAAAACTAAACTTTTTAAATATTTAACATATATTCAATTGGTATGTTACTGATTGTCGGTAATTATCAACCTCCTTATTACCGACAGAAATTTTATTAAATCTGTAAATTATATTTAAATACTACAATTATAAAAGCTGTAATTTTTATTTAAATGTTTATCACTTATTCGTACAATAACAAATAAATTTTATTGAATTTATAATATACACGCATTAATTATATAAAAATAATAATGCAATGGAAAAAGCTAAAGATTGTAATAAATTTTTCTGTGTTAATTTTATTATCACACGTATCTACATTTAAAAATTATTTATGTATACATAGGCAGAAATATTTATTTTTACAGAAAAAGTGTATCTAAATCTTAACTTAGATCTAGCACGTGTTTCGCAATTCAAAAAGATTGCAATACACAATGTAGAACAAAAGTTTGTTATGTACAGCTCAATGTTACGAATGCATATTATTTTAATCCAGTACCAATGGTAAACAGCTATATTTTCAAATACATGCGTATCATGTACGTTTCGAAAAGATGTATAAAATATTGCTTAACTAAGCTTGTCTCCTTTTAATTCTTTGTTATAATACACTATGGCACGCTCTATCAACGATGTGTTCTCACTTCCTGTGTTTGCTTCCGTTGAATTTTTGCTATTTTTACAATTCTTTCTCATGTCGTCTTCTAGATTATTATTACTATTATTTATTGGCCGTGAAACCAGCTCAGGTAACTTATGCTTCGTATGTTTTGCTAATTCATGAATTGCACTCTGCAAATAATGAATTTGTGCTTCTTGTTGTAATGAAACATTATGTAACTCTTGGATGTCATCTGTAAACTTCTGTATTTGCATCTGACGGATCTCCTCCTTCTTTGCCTCTTTTGTGACTTGTCTGTTATATTCCAATATCACACATGCTCCAGCTACACTGAAGATAATCAACTCGCCAATTAGACTAGCACCCAATTCAATTGCCATTGCCTCATTCAACTTGGCAACCTTTGTAGGTTTACCAAGATTCATGATATACATTTTTGTTTTTACTTCTGCCCAATGATAAACTATGAATATATAAAACAATTATGGTTACATCTTACAACAGTAAACTTGTATGTCATGAGAAATGTAGAAGTATACTCACATTGAGCGGGTGGTATGATAAAGTAAGTTCTGAAAATAGAATGACTCTTTGCTTGACTGACAAGAAATTTCGCTAAAGGTTTACTGATCTGTTTGACAAATAGTACACCCAATTTAAGGGCTGGAAATACTCCGACTGGCATCTTTATTGATTAATATAGCACCTTCTCATTTACTTTTCAATATCCTAAAAATTTTTGCTCTATATATAT